AATTGCTTCTCTGTTCCCTTAACATTTTCTCCTCCTTTGTAGCATGGTACTAGTGGAGTGCTCTCTAGGTTTTTCTTTTTATGTATCTGTTTTCCTTGGTAGATTCTTTTGTGTTGCACAGTGCCTTGCAAACAATAAATGCTCGAGTGCATGCATGAATAACAACGACCACCACGTGGACAATTAGTGTGAGTCCATTGGACAGACCAAAGGTCAAGTGTGCCATAAAAAGGAAAGTTGTTTCGTTTTAATGAGTAATTTCTCAGTAGGATTTTGTTTCAAGTCAAGGTCAAGGGTATGTTCCTGGTACCAGTCCAATAGGAAGGTTTTCTGCACTCTAAACCTGCATGTGCTGCTCCTCCGTGGCTGCTGCCTGGGGCGGCTGGGGCCACCGCCCAGGGTGATGCATCCCCTTCCTTAGCCATCACCACCTGCAAAGCACTCTTTGCTTCTCGGCTTTGCAAGCCCATTCAAAGAATGAGTTTGACCTTTTGACCTTCTGTGACAGCAGAAGTTTGTGACCCACTGACCACAAGTTGCATGAAGGAGTTGTTTCCTTTAATTTGCTCCAAATTTCTTTCTTAAACAGCCCCTTTTAAGAGAATCAAGTTTAAGAGAGAGGTTACTTCACTTGTTTTCTGTTTTATTGTGTGTTAGGGACTGCCAGAGGACACAAATATTTTTTTAAACCTCTTGCAGAATCTCTGTTTAAGTGGGGGAAAACAAAAGATTTCTTTGAAAGGCAGTTACGAAGAGAGGGGAATAGAGACAGAAATTCTGCGTATCATGGACCACTCCCCAACAGACAGCTGCAGCAGCCAGTACTGAGGCAGGAGAAAGGCAACACCCAGGAGCCTTGTCCAGGGGCCGGGCGAGTGGGCCTTCCGTTGCTAGTTTCCCAGTGGCACTACCAGGGGGCTGGATCAGAAGTGGAACAGCCAAGACTAAAACTGGTGCCCATGTGGAATGCTGGCATTGTAAGCAGCAGTTTAATTAACTGCATCAAAACAACAGACTGTCTGACTTAGTCTTTAATTGTATATTTCCTTTTTAAATTATTCTTATCAGAAAGGCAGGTCAGTTCTGTGGAGAGAAGGAAAGACAGAAAGAAAGATCTTCCCTAAATGGCCACAACGGCCAGAACTGAGCTGAGCCAAAGCCAAGAGCCAGGAGCCAGGAGCTTCTTCTGGGCCTCCCACATGGGTGCAGGGTCCCAGGTCTTTGGGTCATCCTAGATTGTCTTTCCAGGCCACAAACAGGGAGCTGAAAGGAAGTGGAGCAGCCGGGACACGAACTGGTGCCCATATGGGATCCTGGTGTTTGTAGGGTGAGAATTTATCCATTGAGTCATCAAGCTTGGACCCTTAAATGGCACTAGTTTTTGTTTTCTGAGACTCCTTGAGACATCATGTATTATTCAACCATTTTCTTGAGACGTAGAATAGCAAGGGAAAATGCGTTTCCTTCCACTTTCTGTGAGTGGCTTTCATTTGACTTCCAAAGGCCTGACAGAAGCAAAAGACACTGAATTCACCATTTAATATTTTTCTCTTTTGCTATATTGCTTTTCGTTCAGAATTAAGCATAGCAGGTGCACCAAGCTTAATCATTTTTGTAAAGAAGAGAAGACATTCTTGCAAAAGCACCATCTTAAGATCTTATTTTAAAGATTTGTTTGAATGGCATAGTGTCAGAAAGAGAAAATGAGAGAGAAGAGAGATTTTTCAACCACTGGTTTATCCACAAGGCCAGGTTCTCTCCCCAAGCTTTTGCTTGGTAGGGTCTTTGAAGCATAGAGGCATGGTTAAGCTTAGTGCATTCTGGAATCAAAGCAGCAGGCTTGAAGTGCCGAGTTCCTCACTCGTGTGTTTTGGGAATTCAGACAAATTGCCCAACCTTCAACTCTTGCTTTCTTCATCTGTGAAGCGGGGTAATAATAGGACCTACTTTATAGTGCTACTGAGAAGATTGAAGCAGAAATTCAAGGTGAATTGCTTAAAATGAAATCAGTGCTGTGAATGTTTTCAGAACTTGCATAAGATTTCTCAATGTATTGCAGGGCATAGAAAGAATCAATAAATTAATTCACTGATCAATTCTATATACACTATTATGTGCAATTTATACACATACACATACATACACCCCCACACACGGACAGACTTTTTGCCAAACTGCTATATGAAATACGTGAAATAATAAAGAGTTAAGCACAGTCCAGATGTTGCCTACTGCTGTGGTATTTAGCTACAAATTCCTTTAAAATGTGAGGCTGCATGCCTTCGTAATTCTCGCCAGCAAACGCATGGACTGCACGTAGGATGCACCAGCCTGCCACACTGCGATCCTTGCCTTACTGTTGCCTGCCTGTCTTAGTGGGGACTTGATTAGGACCAGCAGATCATCAGAGAAACCCAGGGATTCGCACGCTCTTGTGGTTTTCTGCCTCTGAAGGAATCCAGGTTATGTGTGGAGCAGCGCACTTAGCATTCCCAAGTCAGCACTCCAGGACATTTTGGTGTGACTCTCAGAGTACCCTTGCAGAAAAGCAACATTCCAAATGGAAGCAGGTCTGGTATTTCTGACACTTTATCGGCTTAGTTAAATTTCTCTAATACATTTACAACAAAAAGTAAAACCCATATGGACATGGCATTGTTGAGCTTTTTGTGTGTTATCAATCAGTTAATCAACACGAAGCCCTCTCTGACGTTTTTTTCAGGCTGATCTTATGCTGGTTGTTCGGGATGAAATATACCTGTGTGTATATATAATCTGTCCTAGCCGACAACATTGATGACATAGAGCCCGTCAGCTCTGTTTTCCTTCTTTCTCTACATCTGTGCTCTTGGCCGACCTGCCCCTCGGTTTCTCCTCCTCTGACTGTGTGCCTGAGATGTGCTCCCCGCGCTCGGTACCTCATTATGTCGGGACGCCACGTAATCAAAGCCTGACTCCCGCGGCTCTTTCATCTCCCAGCTTATTTTCTCAAGTGCATTCCTTCACGAAATCATGGTCAGCTCCGCCCTTCCTAAAATAACACCAGGCACTTCTGGCTCTACCCCTCCCTCCCCCACTGTCTTAACTGTCCACGAACCGCCTGTGGGGTGGCATCTGGGGGAAGGGTGCTGTCAGATCCGGCGACGTAATTTATGGGACCCTTTGTTCAAAATGCAGGGCAAAGCTCTACCACTAGTAGTACCAAAATAGAAAATTCTTTCCTGACTTTTGCATCCTCTCCCTTAACTAGGCGTGGTGTTTCAAATTTGCTAGTTAATGTCATTTCAAATATAAAAAACTTAAACTAGCATGAAGAATTTGCTGCTCATCTTCATATTGGACAGAGCCAATTTCTCCAGTAGACTCTCAGTTTTGTGTTATTTTAAAACAAATCTATTGACATGAAAAGCAGAGTAAGAGAGAGAATCTTCCAAACGGCTCACTCCCCAAATGCCCACAGTAGCCAGGGCTGGCCGGGCTAAAATCAGAAGCCACCCAAGCATCCCACATGAGCGGCAGGGACCCAGAAACTTAGGACATCAGCTGCTGCCCCCAAGGCGCCTTAATAGGAAGCAGGAATAGAAGCAGAGCAGTTGAGATTTCATCCAGGTGCTCCAAAATGGAATGCAAGTCTCCAAGCAATGGCCTGACCTACGGCACCAAAAGACATGGCCCCAAACCATCTGAAAATAAAAATATCTGAGCATTTAACATAGCCTTCCCTGTATGCAGCACTGTATGCTGCCTAAAACACAAAAGTGTCACAAAAGGGAAGGGATATGACAGAACTCCTTGGTTTGTCATGTTTCTTAAAAGAGCCCTGCCTTGTCCCTGCATCCGAAGAAGTTTTGGTGTGAAAGCAGTGTGGTTTCCTGAGGCAGTCAGCAGACTCTGACTGCACACATAGTTCAGCCACAGACGTAACACACATCGTTCACTGTGAACCTCCCTTAGCCCCATGCGTCCAGGCCCTCTAGCATTTTGAGCTTTTCGGGCATCAGGAATGCTGCAAACAGTTCTACTGTGCTTTGCGTCTCCACTCACCTGCTCCATTACACTTCACTTGCAAAACTCAAGGTCAAAGATAGGATCAGGAAGACTGTCAAGGGGCTGGCGACAGAGCATCAAACCAAGTCTGGGGCCCTAATAAACTGGAGTCCTGTGCACATCCCCAAGATGTTAGCTCTGGATCCTATTGTGCTGACACTTAGGGGATTTTTATGTAAGACTTCATGACCACCACATCTCAACTGCAAAAAATGAACAAGGAATGAAGACACAACCCCTGACTTGCTGGACCATGGACTTTTGTTTACATGTAACTGCAGGAGCTCATCTGTAACTTGCTCTAATCCTGCTTAGTAGGCCAAAAGATCCAACAACTGAATATCGCATCATCCTCAGTGGGAAGAGCAAGCAACCAGTGTGTAGACACGGATTGGAAATGAATTTGGAAAGATGGATGTTGACACTTCATAGGATTCTTTTTGAACAGTCTTGTAAGGGTCTAAAATAGCACCTTCTCAAATCTAGAACAAGTTCACCTATTTTAATACACAATCACCTGAATAACCCACTGAGTGTATTTTTAAGCAGCTCCGTAAGGGGACAACAGTGTTGTAATGGAGCACAAGTTTGGGTCCCACATGGTTTGGTCCTGATCTAGCTCTCCACTGATACTTCTGGAAAAAGCAGTAACTAATGGCCAGAGTCTTGGTCCCTGCCATCTGTGTGGCAGACTTAGAGGGCATTCTTGGCATCCGGCTTCAGCCTGGCACAGCCCTGGGTGTTACGGGAATTTGATGAATGAAGCAGTGGGTGCAAAATTCTCTCTCTCCTGTTACTCTGTCTTTTGATAGAAAAAAATAAGTCTTTTTTTTTTTTAAAGAAGCTTACTTGATATTATTGGTAGATATCAGTATTTTATGAGACATGCTTATACTAATAAGTTTCATTGAACATCTAAAATTCAAACGTAATGGAACATACTTTTTACTTACCAAAGGGTAACTGCTCCCAGTGATGTTCATTCAGATGGACCACGTACACATTCTGAAGTTTTCGTGAGGTGGAACCATTTATTCTTGCCTGAAATCACTTGGTGAGCAGATGTGCAGTTTTGAGAGCACTGCCTTTGAGCATGGGGGATCTGAAGGCATCACAGCAGAGTCCTGGAGCATTCCCAAAGACGTCATGTCTCAGAATATCCCCAGCTCTTCCGGGAGTCTCTCTGGAGCTTCTCCTTCCTCTCTGGCCTCTTCCTTCTCACTGGAGCTTCTACACAGCCCTACAAAGCGTCAGAGGGAAGTGAATTCTGGTTTTGTGGGTGCCATACTCCCCCTGTGCAAACTGGGGGTCTCTATAAAAAATAGTATGTAATCACAAAAGTAGCCCCCAAATGAGCATTAGGCAGAGTGAATATAGAAATCACACAGATTGCAAATTATAAAGACTATTATTCATAAAAACTCATGTATAATGCTGTTTCTCTGTTTCCTAACTGTAAACTCCTTAATCACTTGTGCAAATGAAAGCTTGTTTTTAAAGAATATTTTCTATAGAGAGGACAGAATGGCATGTCAGTCTTGGGCATGAAGAATGGAAATCTGCTTTCTATTGTTGATTATAATAGAAGAGCTTCTCTCTATTTCAAAAAGAATAAATGGCTATGGTTTGCATGTCTTTAGGGTTGTTGGGAAATTGGGGCAAACTTCAATCCAATTTCGGACACATATGAGCTGTGAGATTTGAAAGGATTTTCCCTGGGCTGGCCTTGCCAGTCTCTAACCTAGCTTGTGATGCTGGAGTTGGCAGCCCAGGCCACAGCCATGCCTCACTCAGCGTCTGGATCTAGTTCTTCTCCAAGGGAGAGCTAGCAACCCACAAGGCAGCAGTCTTTGCTCAGGCAACCCCATGTCCAGAGAGACAGCATTCAACTCAACGCAAACTCAAACCGTTCAGAAACACAAAATAAACCCCACTTGCCATGGGTGATTCTATATATCAACTTGGCTGAGATGTGGTGCCCAAATGTTTGATCAAATATTGTTCTGGATGTTTCTGTAAGGGCACTTTTGGGTGAGAGTTACCTTTGAATTGGTGGACTTTAACCAAGTGGACTGCCTCCCCAAGCGAGGGTGGGCTCCTTCGATCAGAAGCCTTTGATAGAACACAGACCTCCCCCGGCCAGGAGGAATGACTGCACTAGCAGCCCTCCCGGTCTTACTTAAACTTAATAACCTCTAACCTTTAACAAAGAAATTTTAGGGTGCACAACTTAAGTCCTTATTGCTCCACAAGGCATCACTTTTTACATTGTGTCTTATAACCCTTGTGTCTGTAACAGAAATTTTCAGTCATTTTAGAATTCTTTTTTCATCTTTCTCTCTGTGTGTCTCTCTTTGTGACTGGTCTATTGATTTCCTTAATGGTACTGAACAAGTCTTTGCATTTTATATCTCCTAAATGTTGACATCATAGACCACCTCTGATCCTGCGCAAAAAAAAAAAAAGGGAAAGAAATAAACTAGTGAAGTTCTTCCCTTTAAAGAGGAAATGTGTGTTTATATCTTAAAATAAGAATATTGTCAACATTTCACAGGTATCATCCACAATACCAGAAACTGCTAAAGGGTGGAGAGCAGTTTTGAATTGCTCTGCCCCCACCACTTAGACATAAAGTCTGGTCACTGTTTTTGTTCTTTTGCTGAAAGCTCTGTACACAATGAATCCTATTACAAAGGAAGAGGCTGCCCGTTGCTCTCCAGAGTCTATTCTTTCCCCATCCCAAGTAATACTTTTGGTTGAATAGACATGAACCCAGGATAAACGGGCCATTTCTCAGTATTTCTTGCGCTGATGCCTGCGTTCTGGCCAACAGAACATGAGTGGGTACTCTATGTGACAGCTTCTAAGAATGTGCCTCAGGAGACGGCAGGTGCACTCACGGCCTTTCCCTCGTTCCCCTTCCCGCCTCCCGCAATCCAGAAAGCAGAGGCTGCCTGCTCAAACTGCAAGGCTGAGGGCCGGCCTGGGACGCAGCTGAGGGTGCTGCAAGGAGCTGCCGTCAGAGAAACTCAGGGAACATCACAGCAAGCTCAGCCTGGCCTGTGGCAGAAAAATAAACACGTTTGCTTCCAACCACTGTTTTTTTGTTTTGTTTTGTCTTTTTTTTTTTTTAAGAAAAGAAATTCTGTAACACACAGAAGCAACACAGCATTTTGTAACTTGTCTTAATTCCTAACTCCACTTCAGCACAGAAGGCCATTACCATTGGCAGCTGTTGGGTAGCCTAGGGGACTAAAAATGGCCACAAAGAAAAATAGCTCAATGGTTGCTCAAAAAGCTAAACATAGAATTAGCATAAGACCCAGCAATTCGACTCCTAGGTATAGATGCAGCAAATTGAAAACATGTCATGAACACTCATAGAAGTACCATTCACAGCAGCCAAAAGTGAAAATGACCCACGTGTGACCAAGCAGAGGAGCAGATTTTAAAAATGTGGCCTCTGCAGATAATGGACTAGCACTGAGCCATAAAAATGCAGGAAGTTCTGACCCAAGCTACAATATGGACAAACCTTGACAACATGCACAGTGAAAAGGGCCGGTCACAAATGGTCGCTTGTTGTGTGTTACCATTCACGTGAAGTATCCAGAACAGGCAAATCCAGAGGCAAAGGAAAAACCAATTCTTCCTAGACACTGGGGGCAAGAACGAGTGTCAGAATATTCTGGAACTATGCAGTAGTGACAGTGACTCAACGCTTTGGTTGGGCCACATGCTCCTGAGCTGCAGAATTTAGAATGCTGAGCTTGGTGTTGCTTGAATATTATGTCCTCCACAGAAAAAACAGCCACCGATTGCTCATACTTCCTCACATCAAGACGGTCTGGGATGGCCTTGGTTCATGGTTGGACCAATCAACAGGGGCAGAGTGATGTCATGTGACTTTTGGGACATTTCCCAAAAGGCCTCCTAATTTCTCCTGTCACACTAAGGCAATCTTGAGGCCACTGAACAGTGGGCCAGCCATCCCTGGCTGTCTGGTGCGTAAGGTGTTAGATGATTAGAAGAAGCCGAATAGACAAAAGACTGCATGCAGGTGACAGCAGCAGTGGCCAACCTGGTCAAGCCACAGAATTATGGGAAACTAACAAGTCATCCCTATCTTAAACCACTCGATTACAGGAGGACTGGTATGCAGAAACAGGCAACAGAAAGAGCCTGCCCTGTGCACATAGTTTATTTAGCCAGTCTCATTCTGAGAGGCATGAGGTTGTGTCCAGGTTTGTAACTGTTCTAGACAGTTCTTCCCTGCACATTCTCATATAAACAACCCAGCACACATACCTGGTTCTTCCCCCTCTGCCTCTCACTTGCACTTAATGGGCACTTTAAGGAAATAGTTTCCAAATATAATCTTGCCACAAGAAGCAAAATCAATAGTGGCGTTTCAGGCTACTTTCAGTGGACTTGCCAGGTTGCGGTAGAAGAGTTTGTGTAAAATTGATCCTGTGATTGTCGCCCCTGAGTCACCCCTCCGGTTTCTTGCCTGATGTGGTTTTTGTGTCGTGTTTCATCAAGGCTTTCCGTATAGATTTCATGGATGGACTTATGATTTTCTCATAAGGCCACAGCCTTTTATCACCAGCTGTGACCCTCAGAGTCCTGGAGGGGTGGGGGGAAGGGCATGGGAAATATTTTATGAAAGAAAAGTTATAAGCCTGATACTATGAAGTAACATCTAATGAAGTTCTTTTTAAGTGCAATATATTTATTTCTGCTAGAAATGTATTATCAACCTTATGTAATATTTGAAGCATTACATGTTATTTGTAAACAGCTTAAAATTATATACTACCCTAAATTATACAGAAGTATCAATGTGTGGATATTATTCATTTCATTAAAAATGGTGTGGTTTTGATATAAAAAAAAAAAAGTTGCTTGCTCTCTTCTGTAAACCTTGACTGAGTACACCGATCAGTAGAACCAAAGTCACTTAAGGCAAGGCTTGTGCTAGGCTCCATTGGATTGCAGGGATTCTCAATGTAGAGATGACATTCTTAGCATGCGAGTAAGTTCGTCCAAGGATTTAAGGTAGCTCTGAGTGACACTTATCTTCTTGTCTCGGTGACTGAAATTGAGTAATTATTTAAAGGAGTAAGCATACGGAAGTTAGGAGCAGCTAGGTGTGGGTGGGGAGAGCAAGGGGAGGTTTGGGAGCATAAGGAGTGAGAAGAACTGCAGCAGGAAACATGCAACAATCTGAGAAATGTGGTCTTGGATTCAATTCTTAGATTTAGGAACTTGGCATTTGGGAAGAGAAGGTAGCTAAAACATCAAAATCTCCTGGCAAGATTGTAAAAACAAAAGGAAGCCTGCTTGGAATCGGTCGAGCAGAAAGAGCTGGCAGAACGCCTGGCATGGTAGCCTAGTGGCTAAAGTCCTCGCCTTGCACGTGCTGGGATCCCATAAGGACACTGGTTCATGTCCTGGCTGCTCCACTTCCCTTACAGCTCCCTGCTCGTGGCCTGGGAAAGCGGTGGAGGATGGCCCAAAGCCTCGGGATCCCACACCCGTGTGGTAGGCTCTGGCTTTTGGAGCCACCTGGGGAATGAACCAGCAGATGGAGGATTTTTCTCTCTGTCTCTCCTTCAATTTGTAGACCTGACTTTCCAGTGAAAAATAAATTTTAAAAAGAAAAGAAATAGCAGGTAGAGATGGAGAATCAGGCAGATGCAGAATAGTAAAAGCTAAGAAGTGAGTCCACAATATGTGGTGTCTAGTGCAAAATGAAAAAAAGGAGATCCTTTGTTCAAATTCCTAAAAATGTCAAGAATGGCAGTAGCAGCATATGAAGCCAAGTGTGGGGAGAGCCGTGTTGTACAGTTCTAGTCGCTGCAGATCTGTGAAGCTGGCCCTGAGGCTAAGAGGTTGGAGAGCTTCCAGAGAGGCAATAACCAATAGAAAAGAGGACTGAATGATAACGTGATTATTTTGAGGTCATGGTGAACTTAAAGGGAATGAGGTTGGAGACAGGATCAGGTCAGAAGGCACTGAAGAGCTAATTGCTTGGGGAATGAAGCACAGGTGTAACGGGGTGCACCCACTTGTCAGGTTACTTGACAGTGGACAAGGCACCAAAGCTGCTCCTGCCTTCTGCACCACTCAGAACAACCGAAAGCGCAGAAATGACTCCAGAGGCCCCACACACCTGGCCCCTCCTGCCTCCTATTGTACTAATTCAGGTTAACTACAAGAAAACTTTGGGCTCTGATAACTCCCTTCCTGCCTCCTGAACAGGGAAACGGTGTGGTTGTCAATCTGATCAGAGGATGAGAGCTTAAAAACCCCTGACTTTTGTTGCTCAGCACAGTAGCTGCTGGAGCATAGCAGGAGCTATATCACCAAGCTAGTGCAATCTCCTATATCTCCTGGTATCCTACACTTGGGTCCAGTGTGATTTTTCTCACACTCTGCAACACAGACAGTGAACAACGAGGTGTGTCCTAATGCATTTTGCGTCATTATACCAGAATGACTGAGCTGGTCCTACGTAAAAGGAAGGTTTGCTTTGCTCATGACTGCTGTCTGCATCATCACCAGGCGGAACAGTGGAAGGGGACACAGGCAGGTGCAAAGGAGGGGATCACTGGGAAACTTGGCTTTCTTGCCACCTGCTCTACAGATCTCTGTGACTCCCAAAAGCCACGTGTTCTTTCTGAGGTCTGGTGTGTGTGACCTGATTACCTCCCACTCAGCCTTACTTCTGTGAAGTCCCACCTTTCACACTGTCACGTTGAGGGCAAAAGCTCTGACACACAAAGCACAGCCACAAGTTTAAAACAAACAAAAAGTGGCCAAACGGCAGTTTAGGGAGCAATTGGGATAGGACTAAAGTCATACATACATGTATTTATGAGAGACGGAGAGCACAGGCAAGCGCTCTCATCCACTGGTTCACTCCTGAAACGCACACAAAGGCCAGGCCTGGGCCGGGTCAGAGCGTGAGCTGGGCACTCAATCCAGATCTCCCACTCAGGTGGCAGGCACCTGCTGGGCAGCAAGTGCTCAGACAAGTGTCATCCTTACAAGCTCAATTGCCGGTACCCAGATCAGCTGTTTGACAATCAGAGAGCGGATGGAATCACATGGATTGGGTTGGATAAGGAGCTAGACAGGCTCATGATGCAAGAAAGGAGAATAATGGAGGCCACAGGGCTTGGGAGTGGTCAGCATGGGGTGATGAGTAGCAGGAGCGCAAGAGGATAAACTAGGAGAGGTCAGCCTGTGAGCCGAGCATGGGCTGTGGGACGCAGAGAAGAGGGGCTTGAGCTACAGAGACATCACAGAGACCAGCACCCAGCTCCAAGCAGGCATCGGGTCTCATCAACAGGGTCTCAGGCTTTCAAGGATTTCTCACTATTTATTTGTTATATCCAGCATGGAAATGGATTCCTTTACAAGAACAACAGACCATGCCTGTGTGGGGTGTCACTTTTGAAGGCAATCTTATTATATTTGGAAGTGACAGGGATTTGGTTGGAACTAACTGCCCATCAAAAGCTCTCTGATGGAATAAGTTATGTCCCTGGCTCATGTTGCTGAGAAAAATGACTGCTGGCAAAATGAACCATTTGAGGGTTTTTTCCTCGTTTTGTTTTTGTGCTTAGTCTCCAGTGCTTGATGGATTCTCTTGCAATGTGAGACATTTCAAGTACTCTCCCCCTAAACTGCGTTCTTTCTTTACAAGATATTCACCATTGTTTTCAGTTTCACAGGAAAAAGAAAATTCCCTTGAAGACATTTGAAGTCAAAGAAACAGTGGCCTAAATATTTTGAGAACATTACAAGATTCTCTTGATTTCTCACCGACTCAAACAGGCAAGATCCTTGTGTTTTTAGATCTCCAAGACTGTAAGTGAGCACGGACACACTTCTAGTTGGTGATGCAAAAAAGGATTTGAGAATTGTGTCAGTTGTTAACTTCTAATTTGTGTGAAAGTACCTTCCAAAACTTTCCCTTTCTGTAACTAGTAATTAAACCATTACTCTAGAGCAATTAAGTGGTGAGTACTTCATAAAAATAAAGATAACGAAAGAAGACTGTGCCTGAACATACATCCGGATTCGCAGCAGCGACAAGGGAAGGCAATTTGAATTCAACTCCACACATACACAAAGGGAACGACAAAAACAGGACAACCGAATTGTGTAACTCACTCATGCGCATGTTGCAAGCCGCATCTGTATGCACTGGCCACATGCCGTACCTAAAATGGCGCCGGCCGAAGAAGCCACACCTTCGTGCGTGGTGGAGAGTCACGTAGCCTTCGCGGCACTGCGCAGGCGCGTGAACACTGGGGACTGACGAATCCGGTCGCCCAGGACCCTGCGTGATCATGACGCCGACCTATCATCGGCGGAGGTGGGGCCAGTCAGCACATAAGAGCAGACAGCCTGCGGGAGGGGGGGGGCCCTTCCTCCTTCCTCCTCCCTCCTCCCTCCTCCCTCCTCCCTCCTCCCTCCTCCCTCCTCCCTCCTCCCTCCTCCCTCCTCCCTCCTCCTCATCTTGGTGCGCACAATAAATTTTACCGCAGAAGGCTTCACTCGCATCTGCCTCTTATTGCTGGACGATAAGACACGTGGGTGCGACATGCGCATGCATAATTCTCCCTTCAGACAGAGAGACGGGCTAATCAATAAGAGAAAATTGTGTCGATTGTGGGTTGATTTATACCACTCAACGACAGAACTGCAACGCAGCTCTTTGAGTATGTTTTCTTTTGAAAATCCAACAGTCCATTAGCTTGATGTCTTTGGAAAGAAGCAGCAGAGTTTGCCCCAGAGAAATCCAACCCCCCTGCCCCCCAGCACTAACATCCTTGTCCCTCCATCACCTCTCCCAGGCGAGATCTCGCCATTTTCGCCCAGTTGTCTTTGCCAACTGGGAAACACAGTTCTCCCAGAGAAAGCACTTAACTTCTAAAGAAAGGCAACCAGGGTGGGGGGATTCTTAGAAATCTGTCGATTTTAAATACTTGCCTTTCTTGTCCAATCTTGTCAAAGCCTGCTTTTAAGTAACAAGGTCCTTTGTAACAACTGAGAAGCCCCAAACACTTCAGGCTTGGTATCCTACTTAGAATACTTAAACTAGCATGCAGTTTGCTGTTTGTTAAGCAGTCTTAATGCTGCAGTTTAACATTTTTCGTGTTTTTTTTTTTTCTGAAAATGAGCTCCTTTACAGAAAATCTGATGAGTTCTGACAAACCAAAGTGGTGATTCTTAAACTTTGAAGAGTATTCCAGGGTGCTTGTTAAAATGCAAATTCCCAAGCGCTGCACTGGCCCCAGAGTCCAAGACTG